TACATACCTAATCCTAGTCATCCATCTCATTTAATCTTTACGCGTGTTCAGCTTCAGATGCGGACGATTAACTTAATCAATTAAAGGTTCCTTAAGTCTTTTTGGTTTTGTTTTAATTTTGAAAACAAAAACGCGTTCTCTTTCCATATAACTGCTTCATCATTATTATTTTTTTCTTCTTTCTTCAGTATTGAAGCTTTAGTTCATTCTCATCTCAAAATTTTGTTTCTTCTTCATCGTACAAATTTGTTTTCGGTATAATTTCTTCATCACCATTAACAGGGGAGGCCATTGATTCCGTTAATATACCCTAGTTTCGTGAATTCTTTTTTTTTTTTTTAATTTATCTCCATCTCTTACTCCTTCGTCCCCATGAAATTTTGCATTTTAGAAAATCTTTGTTTTTGTTTTTTATGAGATGAATCATATTTTAACGTATTGATTTTCGCCTATATGAAATTCATCAAATTCATATTTATACAAAATAAAAAAGGGAAAATGGAAACTAATAATCCAACCTTTTAGCGGTCTTCTTTCAATAATCCCACCTTTTGATTATTCATGAATAATCCAACCTTTGCACCTCATCTTCATTCATTGGTCCCTGGTCGGTTAATGGCATACTATTCCAAGTTATTTTCTTATCTTTGCAAAATATTATCTTTGTGAAAGATGAGATTTATGGTATAATGATTTGCAAAGATAAGAAAATAGCTTGGAATAGCAGGTCATCAACCGGTCAGGGACCAGTGAATGAAGATGAGGTGCAAAGGTTGGATTATTCATGAATAACCAAAAGGTTGGATTATTGTAAGAAGACCGCTAAAAGGTTGGATTATTAGTTTCCATTTTCCCAATAAAAAATGTCTAAGTGCTACTAGTTCAATCTGCCTGAAATAGGTATGGTGTTCTTACGTTGATCATGTATTATGCATTATGTAACATCATGAATTTAGTATGCATGTCAATTGACTATAGAATGCAGATGTCATAGTGATAAGATGCAGTAACTTCTAAAATGAAAATGAGAGCGCATCTGACCAAATTCAATATACGACATCTAAAATACATAAGTCATAATGATATTAAATTGCAACATATGAGCTCCTAAAATAATGCAGATGTCATAGCGTTAAGATGCCGTATGAACTTTTAAAGTGCACATAACTTTCTATAATGGATGTGAACTTTTAAAGTGCACAAACTTCTAAAATGCACATGTTATAATGATAAAATGCAAGATATGGACTACTATAATGCAGCGTTGACATGTTTATGACTATATAGTTCTAATATAAGTTATGAAGATATTATAAATATATAATGCATATCTCGTAACCATAATATGCACATCCATTAATCTTACTACGCATGTTCTGTAACTTTAATATGCAGACACTTTTACATGTGTTCACTTCTTACAAATTTAATGATGAAACGGTTAGCAACACAAGGGGGGGGGGGGTGAATTGTGTGTGTGGAACCGTGGCAGTTTTTCGCCCAGTTCTAGTGCGGGGTATAGGGAATTGCGAAATAGTAAAGTGCACAAGGATTTAACGAGGAAAAATCCCTTGGCTCAAAGGGATTAAAAAAACCTCGACCTCCCTCAGAGGAATTTTAACAACTTCACTAAAAAGCCTTTGAATGATTACAAGGGAAACTCTCCTAGTCTACCCTTGAGCCACCCCAACTCTATCCTCTCTAGGAAGAGTTACGCTTCTCTACCTTGCGGGTAGAGAGCCTCTCAGCTTTACAACAAAGCTCTCACACACACAAACCAACCCGAGGAGGCTACTCTTAGCCAATCCTCAAAACCCCATTACAATATGAAGAAGGGAAAGAAGAAACTATATCTAGAACTCCGAGTAAGCAGTTTCAGACGCCTTGGACTTTGATATTTCTTTTGTGAATATGTCTCTTTAGATTTTGTCTCGGTCAGGCACACCTTTTCTCTCCAGCCACTTCGATTATATAGGCAGCCACACCATGAATCCGTTGGAGCCTTCTTCTCTTGAATAGTTGAGGAACTTGCCTTGAAATTATTCAAAATGCTTTCCTTTTATTTAAGGATCTTCTAGCTCTTAATTATGATGGTCCTTGGTCAACCATATATATATATATATATATATATATATATATATATATATATATGGGAGCAGGAGGATACATGCATACCATGAGCAAGTCAAAAAGGTATAGAGCATATTATGTGATCAACCATTTAGTAATAATTCCACAAAGATATATATCAATACATATCAAGGGAAGTAATTTATTCACTTAAACTATGCAAGCATGCAACGGATCATATTTCAAATAATATGCAGGAGAATATTTGTTTAATAGGTATGCACAATCAACTAGCTAATCAATCAAAGATTCTTTCCATAAAATAATAAGCTATAATAATAAGTCATGCATGAAAATATATTTTTGCTTAAAATAATATTCTTGACAAAGTATAAGCACTCATATAAGGAAAGCACATATTGATTAAATCATACACAATGTAAATCAACCGTTCACACAGAACAGAACTAAGAATAATTTTGTCTTCCGTTCCGTATGGAACTGAGATCGGTTCCGTCCGCCGTTCCACCTGCAGAGTTAGTCATTAATAAAACTACATACTCAACAGATTCTTTCCTTTGAGATCGGTCTTCTTAGATGGGCAAGATCAGGACTTGATGTACTATCTTTAATAGCTCGGATCTCCATATATATTTCGGTCCTCTTGCATGGAAATTATTCAAAAATATTTCCTTATAGGTATTAATAGATATTCTTTTTATTTGATTGAAGGAAATCATTTTTGTTAAGGAAACATTCCTTGTGAGAGGATATGCACGAAAATCCTTTTTGAATTTTGAATAACAACAATTATTTTGGAAACTTGCTTTGTAGAAAGATCTCTTAATTAATGCCTTTGATTTAAATAACTTTCCTTTAAAGAAAAAATCCTTTCTTTGTATCATCATTGATTATTTCCTTGCTTAAAAGGTTCTCTTTAATTTAGCAAGATAGATCCGAAATTAAATGGAGAGAAAAGATATTTTAAGCAAGCCGGATTAATCAATCTTGGATTTACGGTGCAGTTCTCGGACCAGTTCTATGGCTTTTTCCAGAGCACGACTTAAACTCTTTTCCTGTAGTCACTTACAACCAAAAGTAACACTAGTCGTTTGTCATCAACAAAACAATACGTTCCAACATTTAATATGTTAGAAGTTAATATATATAAATTATGCATCTTACTAAAGTGCAATATACGAACTTCCAAAATGCACATGTCATAATAATAAAATGCAACACGTGAACTAAAAATGCAAATGTCATAACGATAAGATGCAATCAATAGCTCTCCATCCTTAATATGCATATCACATAACCTTATTATGCACATGCACACGTTATACTTATACAATGCACATCTCACAACCTTAATTTGCAGTTCGTATGTATGTTTACTTCTCATATGCACTTGTCATCTTACTAAAATGCAATGATGAACTTATAAAACACAACATAGACATATTTTATCAATATGAGTTTCTAAAATAATTTATGCACACATTTTGAATATATGATGCACATCTCGTAATCTTAATATAAAGTGTTATATAATGCATATTCTCTAATCTTAATATGCACTGCTTACATATATTAAACTTCTACTTGCGTTGAAATATTAACTTTTTCATTCGATAATAGGAGCTAAGTTTCAAAAATAAAGGTTTATTAAGAAACGATTGATTCATAGAAATTATTAATTACAAAAAGGTAAATTACTTTTCAATTTATGATTAACTTCAATCATATCATGGGGTTACCCGAGGTAGTTACTCCGGACCAATAGTACTGTCCTCACAAACCACCACGAGGCTTTACCGCGCACTTTGTCCTCACTCATGCGCGCCCTGAGAAACTTCCCAGGGGGTCACCCATCCCGAGACTACTCCCGAGCAAGCACGCTTAACTTTGGAGTTCTTGGGTGATGAGCTCCCTTAAAAGGAGATGCACCTCTGTTGGTATGAGTAGTACTATTAATCCGTTTATATTAAATCTCAAGTGTTACACTTACCTTATATAATATCCATATATTTGGATTGTTAATTGTTTAGTGGGAAGTATAACACCGTTCGAATCAATTAGCTAGTGGGATATCTTTGTTTTACAAATTACATTTGTGATCTTTTAAATGCCTAAAACTATAAAACGGTGTTATCCGTTTTTTCTCATACGGCTGAGTGCATGCAGCGCGTTTCAATAATCATCAGCCGTCCGCATGATTTAATCCAGCGGATGTTGTTGGTTTGTAGGTTAGCACCGGAAGCTTGGTTTGCATGGGATCTCTCCCCTATATATATATATATATATATATAGATGTCAGGCCGGCCTGACGGGCTGCCCCGTCCGGCCGAGCCCCTTTGGGCACCTTCCCGGTAGAATTTTTTGATGAAATTTTTTGAGCATGTTCCTCATCAAGTCTAGTTTGTCCATACCAAATTTCAGCTCAAACTTCAATCGGGAAGGTCGTCAAATGATTTTTGCAAGTTAACTGGTCCGGAATATGTATTTTCCGGACCAGTTAACTTGCAAAAATCATTTGACGACCTTCCCGATTGAATTTTGAGCTGTTGGGTATGGACAAACTAGACTTGATAAGGAACATGTTCAAAAAATTTCATCAAAAAATTCCACCGGGAAGGTTCCCAAACGGGCTCGGCCGGACGGAGCAGCCCGTCAGGCCGGCCTGATGAGAAGAGCTCTCTATATATATATATATATGTGTATATATATAACAATGATATACGTACACAAATATAATTTGATATATATATAAAAGAGTGCCCATGTTTGCACTGATTGAATTATGATTAGGTGATCAGGGTTTTCTGAATTATACAATGAACTAATGCATGGAGTTTTATACATATACAAAGTATAAGAGAATCTTCATTGAAACAATGTGTACGGTGCATATGTGACATGAGAGAGATTAATACAGAAAAAATAAATTATTCACATTTCTCGCTTTCTATCTCTCTCTTTCGACGGTTTTATATAATTTTAGTAAACTTCGTTGGAAAGTTGGAAACCATAATGTCTACATCTAGACATCCTTCTTGACATTGTGAAGAAAAATTTATCAAAAACACATAAGACCTTTCAAATAAGGAGAGAGATAATGTCTATCTCTTTCATACCACACATGCACCATGCACATTGTGGCAATATAGATGCTCTAGATGGGACCATTTGGATAGTAGGCCTCAGTAGCGATTCCACATCGTCCTTGGTCCCTTGCAATCCTCATATACCCATCCTCACCCCAAGTTTTACCCCATGAGTTCTTCACCTTCCAATATTTCTTCCCGTTGTTGCTCGTACCGAACCCAACAATAGTCACCCCGTGGTTCTGATCCTCCGGGCTGGCACTGCAACTCGGGTCGTCGAAGATATCTCCTTTGTAATGCTGGAAGTTGTGTGTGCCGCCGTTGATTGACACCGACACTGGCTGATTCCGCACCACATCCAAAACTGCTCTCTCTCGAGGCGATCCCTGGATTTCTGTGTATCCTCCAATCTTGTACCCGACAGCAGCTATTGTTTTCAAGTCGCAGGAGCCCTTAGACCCGCCGAGGTATGGAAAGAATTCGTCGCTGGGGATGCCTATCTGTTGGACGACGTCGAATGCGACGCTGAATTGGTCCCCGGTGCATCCGGAGCTAGAGAACGCAACACCGCAGTTGAGGATCACTTGTTCTGAAAGATTTACGAGCCTATGATTGATCTTTAGCCATAGCAGGGTCTCTACAGCTGCCACTGCTGAAAATGCCCAACAAGAACCTGCATCATGCATCCATTTTTTCTTAATTTATTACTCCGTAATAAATTCCTATATAGTAATTGTCCCTAAGTAGGATTAAGGATGTTTTTAATTAGACTGAAATTTGCTGGTCTGGTCTGGTCTAAACTGGTCTGATCTCATAATTGTCTAGTCTCTATGTATTTTATAACTATGGAAGTTTGGTCTGATTTGGTCTTGTCTGATTTGTTTAAGTCTGGTCTGGTCTATTGAAGTCTGGTTTGGTCTGTTCTAGTCTGTTCTTGTCTAGGACTGAAAATAGTCCAAGTAAAAACATAATAAATGTAAACATAATTGGATAAATAAGACTAAAACTTAAATCTATTATAAATAGGACGAAACATTAACCTTCTATTCTTAATAGCCCTAATTTAGTTAATTGATTGCCCCTAGTTCCCTTGCTTAATCGGGTCTAGGGCTGGGTAAAATGGTTTGGTTTAATCGAATTGAACCATACTGAAAATTGGCACTTTTGTTTGGTTTGGGTTAACCTAAGCAAACCATTTGATAACAATTTGCTCAAACCGAATGGATTGGTTTGGTTTGGTTTTAAACTGAAAACCCGTAAACCAACGAACACCGAACAACTTGTAGTAATATTTATAAAAATCTTTTGTATTTGTCTTCACTCTTCATCTTTAGGATATAAATTACTCCCTCCGTCCCGCTAAGATTGTCTCATTTTACCTTTTCGGGAAGTCCCATTAAGATTGTCTCATACCAAATTTGGTAAAGATTGTGTGGCTCTAAATCATTCTTGCTTTATTCTTACTTTATCAATTTAATATCAACCACACAAACCCATTTTTCTTAATTATCGTGCCACCTTCTTCCGTCCCAATCTTAGTGGGACGGAGGTAGTAATAATTTAGTATGAAAAAAACACATATTTAGCATATATTCATTAATTATGACAGAGTTAGCTAATAAGACATACTTGTATTTGTTATATTTTGTACTATACCTGTATGGAAAGATGTTTGGTGATAACAATAGGATATTACATTTATATTAATTTCAGTTAAACTATAATACATTATAGATTTTACATGATTCATTTGAATAAATTTATGAATTTGACAACATTTTTACCGCCAACTCAGTTAGTTTTCTTTGAATATTTTATGTAAGACTATAAGCGCTAAGCAACTTTAAACTTATTTTTTTGTGAGAGGTAATTTTTTTATGTCATCAGTCTTAGTAAGGTAAATTGAGTGTTAATTTATACTACATAATTGATATTACTGCTTTTTCCATCTTTTATTTCCTTTTACATTTTATATAGGCAATAAGTACAAGCAGATGAGATGGACTACTATTTTCATTTTCTAATTGTAAAATATAGAACTTGATCAAATACAATGCGTAGTAATAAACACCTGAAACCGGATCAAATGGAACTAAATTGAACCCAATGCGGAGTAATTTTTACTTGGGTAAACCAAACTTGAAACCAAAGTGAACGGAAACCAAATGGTTTTAGTTTGGTAAAATATCTCTCAAACCGAATATAATAAACCAAAACTTAATAAAAAAGAACGATGAAATCGATCCGTAAACTGAATTCCCTGCCCCTAACTGGGTCAGTCCGTCAATGGCGGGGTAGTCCGGTTGTAAGCGCCAGTAGAAGTCACCGAGTGATGTTAGGGTGCAGAACGGGAGAAGCTTGGCGTAGTAGGGTTAGGAGCACTAATAGACGGAGAGAAACGAAAGTGGTGTACAAGATGAGTATGGGAGACTACAATGAAACATCAAGATAAGTTTTTTTAATAGAGTACCAGTGGTGGAGCATATTGTCCGACTCCTCTAAGAAGGATTATTACACCGTCGGGTGGTCGGCGACGGGGGTGGTAGGTGGCAGATCGGGGACAGGGGCAAATGTGCAGTGTGTAATTTGCCGTGCGGAAATCGCCGTTTGAGTTGGTTCCTAAGGAAATCGCCGTTTGAGTTGGTTCCTAAGGAAATGTTTTGTGAGAATGTTTTTCATGAAGTGTAAATTATTTCCACAAAATTCAGCATAAAACTCAATCGGGAACTTAGAAGAATAAATTATTGAATCCAACTACGCTTTTTATATATACAAACAACGTAGTGTTTTTCAATAATTTATTTTACTGACTTTCCTATTGACCTTAATGCACTTTTGTAGACATAATATATGCTTCATGAAGCACGTCCTCACAAAATATCATCAAACTATTCCACCTCAAATGGTGGATTCCGCACGGCAGTTCCTGTCAGGAACTCCTGACACGAAAGAGAATCTATATATTCATGGGTATATATGCATATGTGTGTGCCTATATATGTATATGGTTATTTTAGATATTTTAATGTTAAATCGTATTTTAAAACATGTGTAATAAACATGTTCTTATAGGATTGCGTATATTATGCACCGTTTACTAAAACATGTCTTAATAAGCACCGTTTAATAACCTCCGAAGTAAATATGTCCTTACCTTTTACCTTTATTTTACTCTTATGTGGCGAATTACTCTAATTGAAGTGAATGTTTCTGGCAACTGGGCAAGTTGTCTATCTCCAAATGGAGATAGTTTTGGGAGGTTGACAATTTGTTGTAAAATTCGGAATGTCAAGCGACATGACCAAAGGATCGAATCACTAATAATATCTATTACGGAGTACTATTATTATTATTATTATTATCATTAACTAATTAATAAATTATAATTAACAAAAAGGGTTATTATAACGATCCATATATAAAGATATTTCCATCATTTGCAATGTAGCCAAAGACTCACTACTTATTGGCTTAAGAATATGATGGAATAAAGTGAAATGACTCACTAAACTGTCTTCACTTCTTTGTTATAAAACAACAGTAAGTTCATGCAGTTTTTGACGTGATTTTCACTATGAGTCATCCGAAAATAGTCTCTATGTGATTTAGAACAAGGGTAAGGTTGCATACATCTGACCTCCTAACCCGCCATAGATGGGAGTCATTGCGGCAGGTAATGATGATGAATGAATGATGATATAGAAAGATACAACAATGTTCAACAAATAGTTCAAGCACCCCTATGGGCAGTTGCGGAACCAGGGGCGATAAAGTAAGAGTAGATATCCTAACAATTATAAAATAAGTTTTGTTGTATTAGTTTTTATAATTGTATGAATGTTAGGATATCAACAAAACTAAATTTTATAATTGTTAGGATATCTACTCTTATAAAGTAGAGCATTCATACACTTTTATATTTATATTTATTATTTCGTGTTGAATTAGTTTCAAAACGCAATAAAAGTATTTATAAATCAGAATAAAAAACAGGAAAAATAAAATGAAATAAAATTTTAAAAAAAATTAAAAATAAAAAAAAAACTTTAAAGAAATTAAAAAATAAAATAAAATACCTTAAACATATTAAAAATACATAGGCCACTACCACCGCATCCTCCACCTCCCAACACCACCAATTCCGATCGCCGGGAAAAACTATCGTCTTGTGTAAAAAATGCCACATTTCTCTAGAAATGTCATGAAGATAGATGGCATTTTTACTCTATGAAAATATTCAACTTTCTTTTCAAAATTGCCATCATGATGACATTTTTTAACTTGGCATTCTTTTCTGGCGACATGAGGTGGTGGTTGAGGCGTATATAGTTTTTATTTATTTTTTACACTTTTATTTGTTTTTAAATTTTTTTTATGTATTATTATTATATTATTTGAATAATCCTATTAAGAATGAAAAGGGAAAGAGCAGAATAGGAAGAGTTAGTCCTATTTTGAGAATTTAAACGTTAAGCTCATATTATTACAATTTTGCTTTTGTTTAGTCCTTTTTAGGCAAATCTCCCATATTCAAATGGTTGGTGAGGGCTTGAAACCTAGTTATGATGGATTTTTGAACTTTATTTCCTGTTATCTATATATTTTGGGTTTTGGCGGGTCGAATTTGTGTCGGGCCCAAGCGGGTCACTGTTATTTTCTGGTTTTACCAGGATAGATGTCGTGTCGCCGGTTCTGAGTCAACCCATCTGGTTCGGGTCAATTCTTACAGCATAGGTTGACACTAAACAAAATGACCAATTTCAGAGTAATTATTATAATATCTCTTAGCTCGCCCTTAATTGTTTGAATGGTCTTATCAATAAACTACAAATAGAAGACTATGCAAAGAAAGAGAAACAATCACTAATTTAGTTTTCTGTCTATATCTCACATGTCATATATTCATTGAGCACATTATTACATTGGAGATGCTCTTGTCATGTCAAGTAGTATTATAATAAACTGTGTACACTATCTGGTGCCTTACTTCTCACTTTAATTGTACACATTTTTGCACATTTGTTGATCTGTCAATAATAAAATCGATACACTCAAAGGGATGTGCACTCGTCCACGTGAAATTGAAATGTCCATAATAAAAGGTAAGTCTCGAATGTGAATTAAATGAAATAGAAATGTGCAGAATAAAAGGTACAAAAATGTCATTGCATCGCACCTTTTATTTTGCACATTTCGGTTTCACCTAATGCACATTTCATCTTTAGATAATGTCTATGTGTCGTACCCTATATGCTGCACATTTCGATTTAACCTACTACACATTTTAGTTTCACCTAATGCACATTCAATTTAACATAATACTCCGTATAACCTAACGATCCATATTCCTTCTCATTTCTCTCCTAAGATCGTTATCTCATTTGAACCTAATTACATGTTTGTGTGTGTGTGCGCGAGATGGGGGGGGGGGGGGGGAGGTTCAAATACAAAGTAGTCCTTACTTGAAAAATGAGAAGTACAATTCAAAAGACTTTTGATGGAGTATATGGCACAGGAACCCCCGGCCCATACACTCATGCTTCTCCTACACAGGCCCATCAAGCCCAATGATCACACGAAGCCCAAAACACATCGGCCCGAGTGATAGGAAGCCCACGACGCACATATGGGTACCCTCGGCTCTATGGACGAGGGCTCCAAATTCCACAGGACAACCAGATTCAAGCATACAAAGCTACTGGATGAAAACAGCGGAAAATAGTAGCCTTCGACTACTGGGTGCCCTCGGCTCATACAAGCCTTCGGCACATGGGTAGCCTTCGGCCATATGATCCAGGCCGAAGGGTCTTCGCCCCACGAACCTTCCTCTTGGAGACAGGCAACAACCGCATTTAATGTGGTGTCACGTCCAACCACCGCATTTAATGCGGTGCACATGCGAATGCTGGTGCCACCCCGATAGATTGTTGACACGTGTACTCTCATCGCATTTATGACTGCTATAAATAGCAGCCCTTATTCCTCTTGTAAAGGATTCCAGAAGAAGTTCATTTAATATACTTGGCTCTCTCTC